GTGGCCATTTGGCTACCGAGTGCGGACTCTTTTTTCAAAATTTTCATTTTTACTAACGTAGCAAATCAAAAGTTTTCAACAACCCACTTGCGAGGGTTGTTATCTAAATTACTAACAGACTCTTTTTTTTATTTTTTTTTATCAGCAATTACTAACAGGCTTATGCGATTGTATTTTGGTTAGTGTTATCTAAATTACTAACAGACTTTTGTCGACAGATATTGAAAATTTCAATTTATCATGACTTGGAAATCTCACTTAGCGGCTATGATAACGAACCACTTTGTTAAATATTAACCAACAAATGGGGATTATATACCAGGTCTGCACATTTTTTAATTCCTAAATTTTAGTAAGTTTAATTAACAGTTAAAAGTGTTCTCCTCAACCTCAGGCATTGCTGATGTTGATAATGACTTTATCCACTTTGAAAATAACACCCTTTGAAATAGGAAAATTATGTGTATAATTTTAGTCTAAGAATACTATAACCATATATATATGTATAATGTTTCTTGCATAATGTGATGTGGTTGTTGACTTCGCAATATATAATCATATAATTGATTACTTGAAAAATTATGTGATATTATGTGTATTTTAATGTTATATCATATTGTACGTGATATATAGTGTAGAAAACATTATTTCTGTAGCATCTCTACTTTTGAAATCATATTATAGAGAGCTTCTAGGTTATTCTAAGTTAGTTTGCGTAAAACACGTTAGATCAAACATGACAATTTGTCAGTTTTCTCAATTAGACTAGAGAGGCTGAGTTTATTTCTCTACTCTATTAGGTATAAACAAGTCATTTACATCAAAATTAAAAGATATTTAAAGAATTACAAACCTTTTCGATCTGAAGAATACGATTTTCATTTTGATCTATAAGAAGATAAGCAAGTTAATCGCTTTAAATTAGGCAACATTATTAATTAAATAGAGCATGTATGAGTTTGCATATACGGACTGAGTCTCAGTAAATATATGATTCATCAAAAGGGTTGATTTCTCAGTCAATAATGAAAAAGTTGCCATGGGATCGAAGAGAATTCACAGAAAGAGAGGAAATAGAATGGAAAGGAAGTACTGGAGATCATGCTTCGAAGATGAATGAAATACTTTGAACATATACATGGAAATTTAGTGAATGAAGGAATGGAGTTTTCGTGTGCGGGGGAGGAGATCATGCATTGAACAGAAACCCAAAAACAGAATATATTTGACTTCTTTCAGTTTTTTGAGTGCCCTTGGATGCTAATAATTAAGATCCTAATCCGAAATTGCTGTTCAAAAAACAGCAGAAAAAAATTAAATAATAACGAAGGAACATCAAAACTCATAAAGAATTGACATAGTCATCGCTCTAACTCCGCTATACCATCTTCTTGGCTGCATACATTTCTTCTTAATAAATCTTTGTTTTTCCTAAACATCAATTTCTTTATACATCAGACAATACAATAAAGATAATCTCTATTTCGTAAACTCCCTTACAAATTTAAACGTGAGGCCTCCAACAAATAAATTCATCTTTTTAACCATTTGGGATATGCCTGAGAGACAAACATCAAGCGTTGTTCAAGAATTTATCACTCCTTTAATTCTATATACAACTAGTATTTTGAAGTGAAATCCAGCAGTTTATCAAATGTTGGAACGTTCTGATCAACTCCAAAAGGATATGCCTAACCATTCAAGACAAAATCTCTTGAATCTCCTTTATGGCCGATTCAATCTTTTGAATCCTAATTCATGCTAACTGAAAATGAATGCACCATAGATATCTTAGTTATAATAAATATAAAAAATGTTATGCTTATAATGTCATGTGATGTTATAAGTATGTGTTGTATTATTTTAAAATTAATTTATTTTATTTAAAAATTATTTATAATATTGTATATATTCACTCATTAAGTATTATAAACTTATAATCTTATTTAGTATTGTAAATATATCATTTCCAAATAAACATTTAAAGGAAAGAATGATATCCATTTCGATCTCTCCAACTTTTGGCATGGTTAATCTTCTAGGAACCTTCTGATAAAATGATTGGCAATTGGACCGTTAACTATGATAGATGATGCTTTCTAATTCGATTTATAAGTCAAAAAGAGGAATATATATGGAGCATATACAGCTTTGAAAATGTCAAACCACAATGTTAAATTCGAATTTAGCAGTCAGCTTCAAACCC